TTTGGTCCCCTACGTTAGTATATGTTAATTAATTGGGGTCAAATTTTTTTTCGAAATATCTTAAATTTTAATTTTTTTCTTGTTTGTCTAATTCTATTATTGTGTGGATGTGTGTGCGTGCACTCTCCATAAATGTCAAAGAACACTAATTACCATCGTGCACAGTGCGCTGTGTCTATATCTTCTTCCTTCACAATTTTTGAATTTCTACGAGAGATTCCTCTTTGCTTTAATAGTGAATGCATATTAATAATTTACTCAAATAGGTTCTTGCCAGCACCCTCCTAGAACACAAGCGATGTGAATTTCTCGTCTGTTTTGTGGAATCATTAGGGTTGATTTAGAATAGCTTGCTGCAAACCAACTGTTAGGAAAGTAAATCCGTAAATTTCCCTATTAAGCCAGTAGAGATGTTAAGTTGAGGCAAGTGTCCAACTAAGTAGAATTGTGGGTTAAAATTGTGCCACAAGGTAAGTCTTTGTTTGCTTCTGACTGTTCGTGTAGTCACTTTTATGAGTAGGCATAGTTCTTTTGTTCCATGACCTGGTGCTTACAATTTCCCCTCTTAGCTACCCGAGCCTATTTTATAAATTACTATTTGTGACCCTATTGTCAGTTTTCAGTGGAATAAGGCATGCGTCAGAATTGACAAAATTAAAATATGAATGTCTTTGCAAATGTTTTTTTTTTATTTGTATTAAGCACGCATCTTTTTGAACTTCGACAGAGTGTTTAGTTGAGGGTAGCCACCCTCTAGCCGATTTTTTTGTCGAGCAGGCAGAGAATTGAGTGGTTGACTCAATTAGTGCTATTACCCTTTGCCATCTGTTCAAGTTGCTACTTTATCGATTTCTCAGACACCTTCCCCCCCCCCCCCCCCCCCCCCCTCCTTTATAAGTAATATAGCACCCGATTTTCTCACGTTTCTCCAATCATTTTTGCTGGTCGTAGCAAGGTGTGATGAAGGTTCTGTTAGGCTTCTTTTTAAGAGAACTCGGTGTTTGGGGTGTTGAGGAAAAAAGCGCCTTCGATTTTTTTTTCTTGAGGACTGAGGAACGCTATTAATATATTTTATTTACTTGCCTAATAATAATCTGAGACGTTGAAGTCTTGTCTGCCCAAACTAATGAAAATATGAACGAGCATTTGCTTTTCTTGTAGCCTTGTGTCAGCATTCGTTTTATGTCTCGAACTTTCGTTCCTTGGGGGACTATTTAAGCAGCCTTTCCTTATCTTAAGCACATCGAGGGATTAGTTTCAGCCGATATTTCTTGAACCTTTGATAACTGATTCGTGATTACTTTGTGGTCGTTTCCACCAAACTGGTGTCTTCGATTGCTAGCTTAAAACAGATATCTTCCTACCAAGGAAAGCCATTTCAAGCCATTTCTTTGTTGTAGTCTTCACAGTTATCTTTGTACGCCTAACGGTACTGTCTACATCAACCAAAATCTCCTTAAAACTTGAAATCGTCACTCTCATCTTCAGGTCAGACAAAATTAGATTTTCACGTTTTACTTTGCTTTCTACTCTATCGAGGGTAAAGATCTGAAATAAACTTTATACAGATCATCTCAATTATATAGCTGTGATTCAAACTGATCTGTTATATATTCGTACCGGACTACAACTTGGATTTGAGGATTTAAAATGAATTTCAAACTGCCTTGTTCGAGATACTTAAACACTAATGTGGATTGCATAAAGGAGAGGTACACTTGACCCCAGCTTTCTTGAGTGTGTGGTTTCGGATTCATTTATAATTTTTCCATTCTAGTAACTGCTACAACACAACTTGTTTAAGGAGATAACTCGAAGTTTCCCCAGTAAGCAACTCAAATTCTGCAAGCCCGATGCCGTGGTAGCTATACTTCGTCGGTGCGATTAGCTTAGTTCATTGTGAATCGGTGAGCATCAATCACATGACCCGTAGATTCAGATGTGCTTCATATTGTTAACTGCACGTTCGCGATCTGATAACAGGAGAAGTAGGCTTGGAGTTTCAAGAAGTCACTTAGTACAAGCTGTGGTTTCCGTAAGACCTGGTGCTATCACTGACATTCAGAGGGTGACTATAGAGGGGCATCGTGTTTCAGGCGAAGGGTATAAAAGGGAGAGAGGGAGGAGGAGATAGTTGGGGAAGTAAGCGGTAGTGATAAATTTTCATTTCCCTCCCCACCCCCCCCNTCCCCCCCCCCCCCCCCCCCCCCCCCCCCCTCGATACACCGGCAGCCAGTCAGGAGCAGCAAAGTGCTTCCCACGTTTATCACAACACACTAAGCGGCAGGGGAGAGAGACTTGTGTTGCTATTTCTGCCATTCAGCAGCAGAAGCAGCAACTCGGTTCACATTGAGGTCACTGTCTCCCCTTTCCTATGCCCCTTCTCTCTTCTACATAATTCTGCACTTTAGTGGGGTGGGGTGGGTTAGAACGACAATCATTTGTTTTTGTTGCCCGCGCGCATATTTGTCAGACTACCTCATCTGTCCATCGCGCCCCCGTCCGTTGCTGTCATTCTTCGACGTAAAATGGATAGCCGCTGCGCACAAATAATTCGTTACTAGGGTCACTTCATACGTCATATATACTTCATGTGCTAGAAGAACTGAAAATTTTCTAGTTCCATGGAGTAGTTATACTTGAAAGTGATTGGTGCATGCTTGTCCTTTGCATAGTAGGATTTGTGATCATGGGGATTGTGGAACATTCGGATCTGCAGATGGTGTTATGAAATTTCTCAAATCAGTTCTTATTTGGTAAATATAAGGCAGCACATCCCAAATCGTATAGTAAATGGTAAATCTGTGAAATTAGAGCAAATTACTTTACCCCAATTTACTCTCAAAATATTCTTATTTCAATTAAATGTTTAAAAAAACGAGCTTTTGTCACTTTTTCCAGCTATTAATAAACCGGAATTGTTCTAAAAATTACAAATTCATAAATTTTACTGACAAGAGGCTCCTCGTTTTGTAAACGCATTAACTGTTTTAAGTATGTGTGGTTTTATGTGAAAAAATATTGATGGAATCATTTGTACATAAAGTTTTTCTTTTAATAGACCGCAACCTAATAGGCTCCTATAGTGAGCACATTCCAAAAATCACTGTCATTAAGTGATAGGCAAAAACAGCTTATTCTTCATTGTTATTAATTGAAGTTTCTAGAAGGTTCGCTTTAGATCAGGTGCTAGCTTTAAGTGTATTGATGTAAGAGTTTGTGTTGTAGCGTGAGTCAGTAGAATTTACGAAGGCGACGGGGGGGGGGGGTTGGGGGAGGGATTAAGAATGATCTCTGAGGTTAGTTCATTCGCTGATTTTGCATCAGTTATTGGTGGCAATTAGTGGACACCATAGAGAGTGGAATAACCTACTGCAGAAGTAAAATCAGAACAGTAGTGGAGACAGAACTCAACAACTTTAAGGGAGGGGCTTCCTGATGAAAACGAGGGTGTACGTTCATTTGTACTCGCTCTATTAAAGTCCCAAATTGGGGGTATTTTGTGTTAAGGTACATTAATGCGATCTTAACTATATCGATCTATTGCCAAGAAAATGTTTTTTCATTCCGTTACTAAGTAACTGTTGTTAAATAAAGAATTCAAGGTTTTTGTAGCTTATCATGATAATATCCCAGTTGACAACTTTTGCGGAGTTTTAATTTAATAAAACTGTTTTTTTAGCTGATTAGGTGTGGAACCAGGTCACACAACTCGTTCTAAGTATCGAGTAGGAGATTTCTAAATTTTCCTGGGCAAAGTCGTGAATATTCTTCAGGGTCAATTTTTATTTAGGCCTTTTTTAAATCATTAAATGGTCGCAACAACTTTTTTGTTGAAAATTGCAAAGTAAATATATGAGAATGCGTTTGCTTTGGAGATAAGTTTCGCCCATCTTTCTCAAAGTTGGTGGCCTCAGTTGCTCTCGTCTGTAGCATTTTCCGATTTCAAGACACCTCCTTTATTCCACCCAAAGGAGGGTACAGCGAGTGTACCATCAGGAGGTAGTGACTTTCATCTTTTTCTCTCTTGCTCCTTACTAATTGGAGTGGCCCTTTTCAGGGTCACCATAACATACAGAACCCCTCTACCTTACCTCCTATCCCAGTCCCAAGTCCATAGTGCTGTGTCTTATTACTGGATCATTAATGGGGGGGGGGGAGAGGAGAGGGATGAAGAGAGTTGGTTGAATACCCATCTATTTCTTCTACATCATCCTTCCGCTAAACACCTATCTACTTGAAATTAACGGAAATATTGGGGTGAGAAAGAACAGTCTATCCCAGCTTCCAATAGACTCTCCCTCATAGGGATCTACAAGACTTAAGATGATGTGGTATATGCTCTATTCTAACAACGAACTTCTCACTCTGAAGTGCGTCAAATGTCCGTCTGATTGACGGGATCTCTAATTAAGCGGTCTTTGTTTTTTTTTTCGAATATGTGATAAGTCGTGTTATTGTGTCTTCTGAATTAAGAATGCAAATCTTGCCGTATGGTAGTCCTGCGCTCGTCACATTTAATCGTCTGTTTTGTTTACGTGATTACCTACCATAAGGCTACCTCTCTGGGCTGTGTGCGGGTCTGGATATATATATTTTTTGACAATCTTTCCAAATTATTCACCTTTTAACATCATCAGCTTCTAAGGTTTTCAATGAAGAATGAATTAGCTGCCTATTGAATGAAAATTTTGGTCGAAATTGGTCAATTAGAGTGTAAGAGTGTCGCAGTGGTCAGGACTTTGACCTTTTTCGTGCTATAGAGGTCACGAGATCAAATCCTTTCGGGACCCCATTCAGTGAGAATTACTTCTGTTAAAAAAATAAGGGGTCTCAGGTTGCGTTTCCCTTACCAAAGAGGCTCTAAAAACATGTGGCAAACCAAGTGAGGTGCCAGTAATGCTTTTCCTAATGGACCTTGGGGGACGTTTTCCATCAAATAGGATTAGGGCGGGTGGGGGGGGGGGGGGGGGGGGGGGAGTGCAACTGTTCTCTTCAATATGGGTGGGGTGGGAGTAGATGAATGTAAACGTCAACGACTTGAGATGGGCTCAAAATTCGTCACTGCTCACTCAGTGGTCATCATGACGTACCTACCTGTTAAGGGAAATGGGAACATGGATGATTATTCTCTTATTGCCAATTCTTCAGTCTGTTGCCTCTCAATCCAAGATAAGTGTTAGTACATTGTTTCCACAAATTGCATTTAAATTTAACTGAGATTGACTTCAAGATATACTCCAAGGGTTGCCATGCTAGCGGTTGAAGTTTACCCAGGAAATAGAGAGAAATAAAAAGGTTAGTAGCATATGACGCCTTTGTTGGTGGATCCGACTTCCAATTCGTGTCTTTTCCCTTTGTATGTGTTTAGGGTGTGCATTATAAATCAGTTTTGCACACAAGCAGCACACCTCTAATAAAAGTGTGTCTCCTTTCCTTTTCACTCCAGCGGCAGCCTTAACGTCACCATCAACTTGCCAAAGTAATCCCTGCCTGAACAATGGGATATGCGAGATATCCGCGAATACATCAAGGGGCTATCAGTGCATTTGCCCGGAACCATTTGGAGGGCGAGACTGCGCTGTGGAGAATCCCACCTGTAAAGATGATCCCTGCTTAAATCAGGGTGATTGTAAAGACCTGCCAAATCGGCAATTTCAGTGTTTCTGTCCGCGAGAATATACCGGTCGTCGATGTGAATTCCGCAACCCTTGTCTCGTGAAGCCTTGCAAGAATGGGGCGGAGTGTCGTGTGAATAACTTGGGCACTCGGGAATGTCGTTGTCTGCGTGGTTTCACTGGAGATGACTGTGAAATTGAAATCAATGAATGCGAGATTGGTGAACGATCGCCTTGTGAGCACAATGGAACTTGTATTAACGAGGTATGTGTCAGGATGTCTTTGTCAAATTAATCGAATAAGAGAATGCTTGATTTCACTCGGTCATGAATTATGTTGTTTAGAGTCTGTGACCTTTCCTATTGGCGCTTATGTATTTTTAAGATCACTGCTTCCTAAGGCTAGTTGCCAGCTTAAGAACAGTTTAAATGGAAAAAATGGTGCATATGGTTAATGGTATTTGAGATTTACAATACAGAAGTCCCCCCTGCCTGGACTATATCGCTCTAGTATGGAGTTGATTCAGTGCTTGAGAGAAAGAGGAGTTAAATTGATCAAGTTTCCTCATATGCCCTAGTTTTACTACTAGACCACGACTATTATATTATTAGTAATAGCAAACTCGAAACAACTTCATTATAAGGGAAGTGCAGATGAAGGCCTCATAGATACTAGGCCGAAATCTCTAAAGGAATCCATCTAGTGCCATCCAAGTATTTTCAGGAGTCTTGGGTCAATTGTTATTGGACACTGTAACATTGTGGAAAGGGGGGGGATAATACAATAGTGTTCTCAAACAACCTGGTGTGCTCAAAGGGATCAATTCGATGTTCCAATGCCATTCAAAAAAATATGGCTTTATATATACAGAAGAGATCTGCAGATTTTACCCTGGGTGTTGACATGCCATACTTTCGCACAAGGGGCTATTGAGGTCATTTATTACCTGACAGATTTTGAACTGTAGAGGGAAACCTAATTAGGTACTTGTTTCTACTAACAAGACCTATGCCACCTCTTGGATCAAACGAAAAAAGTGTAAGCTTTTCAAGAGATCTAGTGTACGCTGCTTCGGATGCGCCTTCTATGCCAAAGTTTGGCCCATCAATTTCCAGAAGGAATTATTCAAACAAGCAAAATTTGTAAAATATGGTCTTCCTGTAGTATCACGGGATCTTTAAATTCGTTGTTAATATCGTGACAAGTCTTTGCTTCTAGGAAGGTAAGATACATAATGAAATTGTTTAAAAAAAATTCTCATTTCGATCAAAAGAAGGGATTTTTCTTTGAGGTTGACCAAACTATCCATATGAGCAAGTTTCTAATAGGACATCTCTTTTTTTCTGCTTTTTAAGTTAAAGCTTAAGGGAGAACCCTTCTGGAGACCCTGATAATTATCCACGAAGGTTCATTACCGAGTGTGGCCTTCACAAATTCAAATTTTCCTTTACCACAATTGCGTCTTAGGTAGTTGACCAAGGGGATCTATCTCTGACTTAAAATTAGTCATTCAGTAAAGGCAGGCGATATTACTTAACTCTTAACTATGTATGCTAAGTTTGATGTCCACATGATACATGGTTTGTACTTATTGAATAAATGGTGCCAGTGCGATGGAGGGTGTATTTGTGTCTGTGTGTGTGTGTGTGTGCGCGCGATCTTTATCTCATGCAACCCATAAATCAAAAGGCTGCTACTGTCGTGCTTCTCATAATCGGCATAAGAAAGCGAGGATCCCACGTAAATCTTCATCTAATCTACTTCTCTCTCTCCCTCCCCCTCTTGCCTAGCCCGGGGGCTACAGATGTGTATGCTCAAACGAATACACTGGGGCCAAATGCGAATCTCGCGTGCTCAATTGCCGACCCAACCCCTGCCAAAATGGAGGAATTTGTAATGAAGTGGGAGACGGCTTTGAGTGTACCTGTCCTCATGGTAAGTATCTTCCTTTATTACCTAATAGTCGGGTTAATGGAAAAGGTATTTTAACCCTTTAACGCCCTTAGGGGACCGTACTGTCTTCTTTCAAAATAAAATCCACTGGTACTAGACTCACAACAGAAGCGGCCCTATTGCTGTTTGAAACATGTTCAATACGCCTATACTCATTACGTCTGCGACATCAGTCTGCTGTGAGACGCACACATGAGTACGGTTGAGTGCATTGTTCGAAACATAATTCGGGCGTTAAAGGGTTAGATGATTAGATTTGACAAGGAGAGGATATACCGACAATAGCACTAGCTCTACTGAGGGGATTTTATCTCACACTATGATTGTCAGTTTCATTCGAGTTATTGCCAATGGGTGTGACTTTGATTCCCAGACTTTCCTAACGTGAAATATTTTTGGCGTTTTGTTGATTCTATCGAGTTAGTTTGGGTTTTCGTAATTCCACATTTCATACATTCTAAATTATCTTCATTCAATAGTAGCGTGTATCTAGAGTAGACGAAGTTTCCCATCACTTGAAGATCCAGAACCGTCAGTGAGGAAGTATCAAGCCATCCACATCTCAATTTATTTCACATATTTTTTCCGTGAAGTAGCGACGTTTGGCTGGGGAATTTAATGTAACTTTCCATCCAAGTACTGTAAACAGGACTTGGCCCAGTACTTGATATGTTAGAAAGTCAAAATTTCTGATGGCGACAGTTGGATGGATGAATTTCAAAACGATACATGTGAGGTGAAAACGCTTAGACCGTGATTGGTTGGGTGATTTGGTGGTAATTTCTCTGGCCCGGTTTTTAGACCTACTGTACTGTCAATCTGACTTCAGCGCTCTCCCTCTTCTTGCCCCCACTCCCGGCTTCCTGTTTTTCTTGGCTTCTTGCCTTTCTAACATTAAGAAGTCCATTGATACAACTAGTATATGGTATCTGGTGCCTCGATTAGCCCCGGTGTGGTTGTGCTTTGAATAATTTTTATATAAATCCGAAGGAAACTAAATGCACGTTGTTGGAGCCTGATGGGTCCACTTTAGGCAGCACTATGCTGTCACCGTTTGTGCCTAATATTTCATTCTCTACCTGTAAGCGACCAATTACTTGCTAATTCTAGTGTGCAAGTAGGATTGATAGAGTGCAGATTTCTCGTCAGAGCTACTTCAAGATATCTCCCATCTACCCAAATTAACTATTGTCAACACTTGATTGCCTTGGGAGTATTTATGTCTGTATATTGTTGAATGATTTCCGAAAGCAATTCAAGCTGTGAGGGCAGTATATGGGGCTTAGCTGTGATTTGTTTTCCTTTTGGACTTTCTTTTGTAGGATACGAGGGTCCTCGCTGTCAGACGAATATCAATGATTGTGCAGAAAGCCCCTGTCAAAATGGAGCAGTTTGTGAAGACCTTGTGGGCGCGTTTCGATGTAACTGCCTACCTGGATGGAAGGGAGTTCTGTGTGAACAACGCATGCTTCCTTGTGATTTCTCAGGATGTCAAAACAATGGCACTTGCTCAAACACTCCAGATGGACAATTTGTCTGCAAGTGTCCTCCAGGTTTGTTGAACCCATCGGTGAAATCCTCCAAATAACCAATTAACGGCTTTCGAGAATACTGCACATTCATTTTTTTGTTAGCGTAGATGGAACTTAGATTACGAATCCTATAATTGACAAGTTGCAGATATGTTCGCTACACATAACATTGGTGGAGAATAGCTGGCATGGAATCGCTTAGATGCGAAGTTTTTACCTTCTTGCTATTCTTCTATTTGACTGGATTTGACTAGTTTGTTTTCCCGTCCCTTTGAAGAATGTGACCTCTGTTTTCTAGTAGGCACGCATTCTGACTGCATTTTAAGGCTGAAGAAATAAACTGAGTGCCTTCCTTCGAAATTTCCCCCTCTCAGTAAGGCATTGGCGTTCAGTATCGGCTACGATTCTTGTCAAATCCAGATATAAGCGAAATTGGCAAGTATTGCCCTCTTACGAATTGTGTGTAATTACAACTGTGGGATTGATATCTACTTAATCTCTCTAACCAGGGGCAAAGTTACAGTCCCAGAGACAGGAGTGTGGAAACCCAATAATCGATCGTTTAGAAAAGTACGAATGACTACGCATAGTGCTGCACTAAGGCTACTGGATTTTATCGATTAACTTTAGAGAACATCGACTGCTGTGCACTAGTGCAATTTTCATTCTTCATTGTCATCGCCTCTAACTCCGCCATTTTAAAGTGTAACCGTTAAGAGACGCTTTCGTGTGCGCGTTATTCTAGTTCTTATTTTTGTGTTTGAGACCCCAAACTTGCACACTTAAGCATAACCCCCCCCCCCCCCCTATTAAACATTGAATGTTGTTTGGATGGTGTGGGAGCTGCTGTCTAAATTTTGACAAATTGCGCCTCTCTTCTTTCATTCTACGGGTCCAGGTGGAACACACACGAAGGTGTATCGTGAGAGCGCCCGTTTAATGAAAATGAAGTGAAATAAATGTCTCTCTCTCCCCCTGTGTGTGTCTGACTCGTTATGCTATACACTTTCATTTCTATTTTCTTGTCGGTTTGTTAACTGCCCCATCTGCGCGCCTACGTACAATTATGATTTTTATATTTTATTTAGAACTATCTCTTATTACCCACGGTTGTCACAGTCCACAATAGCCGCCTTTTTTTCTGGCAATTCGTTCACACAAAAAGAAACATTTTAGGCAACTTAGATCACAATGAAAGAGGTTTAATCATTGTCATCATCGTCATCATCATCGTTGATAAGCCTGAAATCTGGCCGCACGGAAACTTCATTTCCTTTTATAAGATATCAGACGAAAGAACTCGATCGATGGAATCTGCTCGGTGCCTTGCAAATGTCCAGCTTGTACTACAGGTCGTGTTTATCGATCTCTCACGAATTTCTCTGCACATCCAGATAATTTAGAGATGTGTGTGTGTGTGTCTTGTTAATTAACATTGCTTTTTGTAAGTGGTGTTTGGTGTTAATCATGCACTGACATACACTGCTAGGCATCTTGTCATCCGTGAGTGTATATATTCAAAGTAAATAAGTCGAGGGTAGATGGCTTTTTCATCAGTTTGAACTTGACGCACGCGCGCGCTCGCACGTACCTATGGAGGTGCTGCAGTGTTGATTCCAGGTTTCAATTTAAGCTTCTGATCTGATGTTTCTATTAGACAATTTTAGTGGAATTTTGCTTTCCTTCGAGACATCTTTCCTAATAATCGTCATTATGGTACAAGTGGAAGAACGTTCTGTTGATATTATTTACAGCTTCCAATGATTTGCTTTTTATAGAGGGTGCTTCGAAGCCGTTTAATCTGAAGCATCTCAAGCGTTAAGATTTGCCGATCAACCATGACTACATTTGCGTCAAAGCATTGGAGAGGGTTGATCTACAGCTCAAACGGCAACATATAACACAGAATTCAACTTGACCTATCATAACCCTACTATTTGAGCATCTTGGCTACACACTTATCAGTGTCTTGTTGGCCTTGTCACCAAATATCCATATCCGCTGTCATTTTTCTGACTACCCACGTCTTACCTTGTATGTTTACTTCCTCTTTATCTCTGTGTCAATGGGGGTGGGTGGGTGGGTGGGTGGGGTGGGAGGAGGGTTTTATTGACATTCGGCATTTTATCCACTTCCGTACACGTCATGGTTTGTCGGCTAATCCGAATCCACAAAAACACTGTCATTTTCCTCCCATAAATTGTCTATAGGTCCTATGTTGGTCTCGGAGAGGGGGGGGGAGAGAGTTGGGGGGGGGGGGACGATTAGGATCATAGAGCGACAATGAGAGACCTTGCCAAGCCATAACTGACAGGTGAAATGCGCGGCTTGATACTCAAAAAAGAGGAGCAGAGATGTCTTACGCGTTTAAAAAACCTTCCGACCAATTTATCGAGCGGTAAAATTTAACATTAGCGGATATCATTTGAATTATCCCATTGAGTGAGAACGTTCAATGATAAAATGGAAATAAGCATCTTTCGCCTCATTGGTAATCGTTTCACAATAACACAATTCCTCTTTGGCAGACCGATTGAGACAAGGAAGTTATTCTTCACTATATGCGGAGCGATAATTTTGGCATTTTCTTTTTTTCTATTCCCAGGTTTTGAAGGATCACGTTGTGAAATCGACATTAATGACTGCGTCGGCATTCGCTGTGAAAACGGCGGCTACTGCGTTGATGGCCAAAGTTCTTGGTACTGCCAATGCAGACCCGGATTTACCGGTCGCCATTGTGAGAAACATATCCCTAACCCAGTTAGTGCTGCTGTGACTTCGAGCTTTGTTGCCTCCACTTCCAATTCTATTCCCTGCAAGGACGGAAAAAGCTGTCTGCACAAGGGTGTCTGTGTTTATACTGGAATAACGAATTTTTGTGAATGTCCATTTCAATGGTATGGGGAATTTTGTGAAATTCCCGTATGTTCTGAAGACTCCTGTGCCAACGGAGGCGTCTGTCGTGAGATTCTCATCCATCCTGGGAATCTAACTCATGCGTCCAAGAAGGAGCCCTATTGCGAATGTCCCGCAGGTTATTTTGGTGAGCATTGTCTCGAAAAGGTGGGTGTCATGGATTAGTATTGAGATTACGGAAAGAGTCCCACTTTAATGGTGACTTTTGTCCTTTTTTCGGTTTTTTTCGCAGGTGACTGAATGCACTTTAGATCTTTGTACTCATGGCAAATGCGTTTCCGTGGGTGGAAAGGCAGCTAAGTGTCAATGTGATGTCGGTTTCGGGGGTAATCAATGCGAAAGGCCTCTAAGGAGCTGTCGGGAGCAGCCATGTCTCAATGGAGCCGCGTGTTTGGACGATCCCGAGAGGCTTTTCACTTGTCGATGTCAACCGGGTTTCATGGGTTAGTTGATTACTCTACCGGAACTTTAAAATAGAGGCCTTGCTCACTTATCAGCCCACTCTGCGTTTGCGGTTGAGTGCTCTCTCTATGTGCTCTAATTAATGACCACACGTCGTTGTCTATGCTCTGAGTGACTTGCCCGAGTGTTTTGTGCGTGCGTGGGTGCAGGTTTAGACATGACTGTCATTTGCCATTTGTCGAGACCCCTTATTACAATCAATATGTTCGAATCTCGCAGGTGTTCTACAGAACTCCTTCACCCCTCCCCCCCCCCCCCCCCCCCCCCCCCCAATCGAATATACAAAGTGGGAATCGCTACCTTAAAGTGACATAAGGCCGACTACGCATCTGCTTTACTTGGCTGAAACACTACTTAATGCCCAAATCATGAAGGCCCTAATTCCGATTGGAGTTAGGCGGAAATTGTTGATTTCAAGACAAATTCACAATTCTTTTCCTTCAATCCTGTAATCTCCATGGCCCTTGCAGAGATAGGTATTGAAGAGTTGAGTGATTGAAATGATGCTTGATAACTAAAGGTTATTTAAGGAAGGTTAATACAAGGGATATGCCAGTGGAAAAGAGATGTCTACTACGAGAAGAGACCGTGTACTCTTCTATATATACATTCCTATCTTGCCTCCTTTATGCTTAATTAGGGGCGCCTCACATTCGCATCATTAATTTAATTAACGAATGACAGCTTTAAATGGTTTATTTTTGCATGGCCAGCTTCATTTCACACCAAGTGAGGAAAAAACACGCATAAACGATTTATATATATATGTAGATATGTGGCCTTTCCTTATGAACCCGGGGGACACTCTTCCTCCCTCCCTCCCTCTTTCCTTCCCTTTCTCCTTTCGTGACTAGAAGTCATTAATCTCTCGGTGTCTTGTTGTTAAAGATGTGTGCGCGTCTGCCTTCATCAGCAGGCCGAAACCGACTTTGGAATTTATCGGAATGCCCCAAAAAACTCGCTTCTTAATGCGGTTAGGCGATTTCTGTTTCTCTCTTCCTCTCTCTCTCTCTCTCTCTCTCTCTCTCGCTGTTCGTGTTTTGATCACTCGAAGCAAGCTTAGGATGGGCCAAAATCGGTGTCTGTTTGTGATTATGCTTACTGTGGTTCATCATGCCTCACTCTTCCTCTTTTTCATCTTCCGATTATAAAACGTCAATCCTCAACACACAAAAGGCAATATATCTCCCTTCCTCCCCTCCCCTCATCCACTCACCCACCCACCCACTATATTGTTAATCCTCACCAGCGTGCACTTTGAAGGGAGTGTCTCTATCATGCTGGCAGCAACTTCCTAATGTTGCCATTTTTTAACCTGTCTAATGAAACCCAAGCACCCAGGGTAGGGTAATGTCATACTGACGTTGTGATTACGCAGGAGTGCTATTGCTCTGTTATTTCTGACACTTCCTGAGGTGTGATTTTAATGTGACTCATTTGAGGGCCTAAATTTCGGACACCAACTATTCATTCTCAATTTAGAGTAACAAATTGCGTTTATGTGTCAGTTTAAGTAAGGGGGGAAAGTTTGTATACCATTAATTAATGAGTAAATTAATATATCAGACTCATTTGTTACTCTGGTCATAACAAGAAGCAAGGTAAGCAAGAAGAGGTGAGTGCTATTTGTATGATTCTTGGAATAGCATCAATTCTCGATGTCGGATGGAAGAACACATTTGGAAATTCATGGTGTCTATCTCATCTTCGTGGCTACGGAATGATTAGCAATTTTCAAAACCAAAAAGAGTAGATCTTCATTCTATAAATATACTGAACAATTGCTGGACCTATTCTACGCTCTTGTCAATATGTTTCGAATTTGTAACCTTTGAAGTTGCAGATGAACCTCACTACTTTTCCCCACATCATGATCGTGGTGGTAAAGTTGGGTGTGCTGACCACTACGCCATCGACGCATTTTAGATCGTCTTATCAAGCCGCGTTCTCAATGCATTGTACAGTTGGTGGGTTGTCTAGTTTACTGCTTTCATCATAGCTAACTGGGTGGATATCGGAGAGAATCGGACCGTTGAGTTCCCATATATGTTGGTAGCTACACCACTATGGGTCTCCTAGGTTCATTGAGCTCAGTGTGTATGGCAATTGCATCCATTTATCTATCGAGCTGTCATCCGCAGTCAAACATGCCAAAGCAGGTGTGTCTGTGTGCGTGAATAGAACAGATGCTAGAGAGAGAGAGAGAGAGAGAAAGCGAGAGACGAAATGAGACTGACCTCAATACCGGTTTTTCAACCCCCGAGCGTCGACAACGTCGGACTAGTGCTTGCTGGTGGTGGTGGCCTTATGGAGAAATTAATCATCACCACCACCACAAGCACGCACGAATATGTCATCACCACCGGACTGCCTCTCACTGGGGCTACTGTGTTACCAGATACCTCTTCCCACTTCTGTTCCCTTCGCTCGCTCCCTTGATGAATTATGGTCCAAGGAGAGTTCTCACGGCTCCGTTGTCAGCACTCCTCGCAGGCTCTCCATCTAAACGAGAAGAAATTCACTGCTCTTCTATCTAATCAAGAATTGAGAAATCAGGAAGGTCTCTAGTCGTTGAGAGCCTCAAGAGTCATCTTCAAGAATTTTGGAATGGCATTCGGCGATATTTTTGGGGTTCAATGTTATCAGTATCACTTTTCGGTCCCCCTCTTTCCAATCTCTTGCTTTATGAATTATGTTCCGAGGTGGCTTCTCACGGCTTGCTGTCAGAACTGCTGACAAATGGGTTACTTTTAACTAATCAGACTGGAATTAGCCAAATAAGATGATGATAGGTTTGATTTTTGTTTTATGCTCGTTCATAGGGTTCTTGAAACTACTTCCCGAAGATCCATGCTTACTTTCTTACTTTTGTGAGTGACAATTTTGTTAGTAAGGTCATAAGTTGCATTGTACTTGGACAAAGACCTAAACAACTATTTTTTTCGCCATTGTATGGTAGTTGAGGGTAGTGTTAACGGGATCACAAGGTCACAGTATTGCCTTGAAATTGTCTTGTATCCCCTCATCCAAAAATAAATTGTCATTTTTCCCTTTCACTCATAAATAGATCTCTCCAATGTGATTTGTTTCAATGTTCCAATTCATGAAAGCATAAGTAGAAATGAGAATGACTTGCTGAACCCGACTAGATACTATTTTCGAGAATTTGAAATTTCTAGGTGGAGAAATAGCACCTTAGTGAAAAAGTGGTGAAAAATTTTGTGAGCTATCCCTTATTATCGTCGTCATTCCACTCACTAGATATGCACCACTGAATAAGTAAGGCAACGACAAAGACCACTTAGGATTTTTCTAGCACATCTTTAGGTGACGATATGTCGCCATGGAACCTCTCTGGAAAGGGGCTCAATTTCTGAAATCCGACTTCATAAGCTAGTTTAAAAATTATTCTAGAATATCAGAGGATTTTGACTAGTCTTTTCAAAAAGAATAGCTCTTCCAAGTTACCTGCAGGGATATCTCCATTAACTAGTCATCGATTTTCATTTCCTCTGAAAGTTGCCAACCTCATTCAATCATTTACCTAATGCCTACTTGCACCACGCGATGTCATTTAAAAATTATTGGAACCTCGACGACAAGTATGGAGCATCTTTCTCGTTTATGCGTGAATTCTGACGATCCCGAGGGGGTTTGTTCTAGGATATGTTAACAGCATCATCCTGTGGATAACTTGATCTGGATACAGGGATCAGGAGGTTATGGTAAATTTAAGTAAGTGAGTGACTGAATCATACAGGTTGGGTGGGTTTGAGAGCGATTTGTGTGAGATGCTTGATTTTAAACTCTATTTGTTTTGTCTGGAATTTCTTTATTCTTTCAGAGCCTGTTAGAATGACATTTCCTGAACTAAACTCGCTATAACATAATCGCTCTTGGTTGAAACTCACACTCTATCAACCGTGTATTATTGATCAGAACTAATCATTACAGTTGGCCACCCACATCAATCGTGGACGCCACTGAACACAGATCGCATGATCTCTGATTTTTCAGATGCGAACGTTTCCGTTTCTTAAAGCGCTAAGGAAATAAGCTGAAAATTTGACATATTCGTGGATAATATTCAAGCATTAATGAGAGGCCATCACTGTGCTCAAACATGCGGTTAAACTCAGATCCAATTAATTCTTCGTTTTTCTCCTTCCAGGTGACTATTGTGAATCCAAGATTCCCTGCTATGGAATATCCTGTGGAGCTCATGGTAAATGTGAGTCCGACGAATGCATTTGTGAAAAGGGTTGGAGTGGGTCACACTGCAACATCTCCCTGCCAGTCCCCAAAACCAATAGACAAATTCAACCCGCCTATCATGCTGTCACTTGTGAAGATTCGCCGTGTGCTAATTATGCTCAATGCTTGTCTCTATCCCAGTTTGAAATCAGTCCAAATGCATATCAGTTTCGATGTCTTTGTGAGACTGCTTTGGGAAACTTTACTGGTAAGTCGATGGAACTTAGAACACCATTGGTGACCGGAATTCTTCCCAATTGTTCTTATATAAAATCCTTCGGATAACAATCACTCAAACATATTAAATGAAAGTGTTATGGGTTGCTAACTACAGTCCCGGTATCTCAAGAAGAGAAAGAACACACACTAGTCAGTAAGGCAGGCGAAACATCGATCTTTAATTATGACCTTGAAATATAGAGATGAGTCTATAAGTTAAATGCATTGTTAATGGGAGATGCGGCAAAAAATGATTACAAAAGTTATTCCTTCAAGAGGAAATGTCTAATAAAATATCTTTTACTATATTAATATTTATTTATTTGTAGCAAACAACAGACTTTATGATAGTTATCATTAGTCCTTTAGTTGACTTCAGACTTCACAGAGAAGAGAAACATCATAGTCACAAAAGGTCGAGGGGGAAGGGAACAGAAGGGTGATTCACAGATGTAAAAGAGATAGACACAAAGGTAGAGTACTGTAGACGTTGTCATGGCATGGCAGTTTGAAGTCAACTGATGGTTTATAGACTATTTTTTCCGTATTTGAGTATACGTTGCCCAGGGTACGTCACATGAAGGTAAGTCTATCACGCACCCCCCCCCCCCCCCCCCCCTCCTCCAATATTAGTGTAATATCGATCTATTTTACACTCCCAGAACTCGAATTTTGGAGAGAACACCTTTTCTGATTGGAAAACAATAATCGATTTGATTTAGATTTATTCATTTGTCTGAATGAATGTGAAGCAACACCCGCTTCTATTTTTATCGCCTATATAGTCTGGTTTTCATGTACATAATCGTAGACCCTTAGAATTGACTTTCAAGATAAGCGTTTCGTGAGAGTTTTAAGCACTTCCTATATGTTACAGATGTAGCTTCTGTCCTCTTACACACGAACCTTAAATGACGTTTATTTCTACATTTTTGGCGTTATACCTCTATTGAACTTTACACTTATAACGGGCGTTAGATTTTAAGTTTGCGCATTTAGAATGGACTACCGTTTTTTTTCTATTTAGGTGCCTAGATCATTAATGGGTATTCATGTTATTACTTTAAATAAAAAATTCTTTATTTATTTATATCAAATGGCAGGCGTCTTGATGGTTGTCATTAACCCTTTAGCTGACTTCAGGCTTCACAGAGAGGAAGGAGCATCAAAGTGAAAAATAAGTCGAGAGGGGGGGGGGACAGAAGAGTGTTCCAAAGACGAAGGTAGAAAAGGTAGAAAAAAGTGAGGTGAGTACTGTGGAAGTGGTCGAATATGACATACAGTGGGGCGATGGTAGTTTGAAGTCAAAAATCAACTGTCGGTTTATAGAATATATGAATGTACGTTGCCCAGGGTGCACCACGTGGAGGTAAGTCTATTGAAAAACGAATGCCGAGTGATAGAATTTTTGCCGTAAGAAAGTACGTTGCCCAGGGTGCACCACGTGGAGGTAAGTCTATCGTGTTGCCCAGGGTGCACCACGTGGAGGTAAGTCTATCGCATCCCTCATGAATGGGAAGTAAACGTCGAAAGTGATTTCAAGCATATCTCAAGAACTGCTAATTTGTCTTGTGTTTATTCGAAGAGGCTGATTATGGTTTTCTTAGGGTTGAGTTAGGCTCACCTAATTGTCGTCATTTCCCCCTACCAGGTAAATTCTGTCATGAAGATATTGACGAGTGCTTGAAAGAACCCTGTCGAAACGGGGGTGAATGCTTGAACACACCGGGCTCATTCGTTTGTCGTTGCCCTGTCGGATTTGAAGGTCGTCTTTGTGAGGCAAGGGCCAACCCCTGCGATGATACCTATGGACCAGTCTGTGCCAACGGAGGAATCTGCAGCACTGTGAATGGAAAGGCCATCTGTGGATGCCCAACGGGTTTCAGTGGATCGCGCTGTGAAGTGAGTCTTTTTGTCCAGATTTCATGATAAGAATCACTTGATCCCGTCTTCATTTGCCTTGATAGTAATACCAAAGTTCTTGAAGATGTATATGTGCTTATATCTTAATTTTGTTGTCTCATTAGTTGCTGCCAATTCTCCCAAGTCTTTCACTTCATTGGGGTTCAATGTTTTCACGGGTCCCAATTACATCATGACAGAAGCTGAATGTCTTGGGGACCAACAGAAACGAAATCTGATGCCCTTAGGGGGGGGATATTTTAGCGTTGGTCTTTCAAAAATTTAAGTACGAGATTGGTTGTCTTTTGGTCATCTCCTCTTAGGTCAAAGGGGCTTCCCTCAAATAACTGACTTTGCTTATCTCGGACTCATATTGCCTCATAGGTGATCATTTTCCATTTAACATCTCCACGTTGTGGGTGCAAGATTGCTTTTCCTCTTCCTAACTACCTTTCTATCCCCCCCCCCCCAAAGTAGTGCAGATTTGCGTGTGGTTGGCGAAAGTGCAGTCAGCTGTGCGGTTTTCCGGAAATTCGTGGATTTCGGCATTTTCGTTTCGGTCCCCCACACCGCCCCACACCCTGAAACCAGTTATAGCCATTTTCCGGTGTTGTTATCTTATCATCCTCAAACACGTTAAATGTTGGCCGAGATTTGCGTTATTGTCGGTTGGCCTTTATGCGTATTTATTGTGGGCGTGTTTGGGGAGGGGGGGGGGATGACAGTAGCCTTTTCTTCCATGGACTTGCACCATTTAATGCTTCTGTCAGGAGTTGTGGTTGTACGAAAATTCGCACTCTCTTTTTCATTCCTTTGTTGTTGCAGTCTTTACACCAATACCCAAGGCAAGAAGAAGAAGAGGGAAAAACGCAGTTTCTCGTCTTTATAGTGTAGACCTGATTCCGATGGAATGGGAATCCAGGCAAGTTCAGCCCTACTTTCACCCATCGAAAGCATCTAATAATGCGTCGTAATATTTTCGTCATGATATAAGACTCTCGCCAAAATTGCTACTTAAAAAGTATCGATTTCATTATCTCACTGCAACTTGTCATTCTAATGAAGCTTAATCTTCAAAGTGGTCTAATGCTTAGCGATAGCAGAAGTTTGGATATTTATCATTAGCCCTTCAGTTGACTTCAGGCTTCTTCACAGAGAGGAGGAGGAGGAACATCAAAGTGAAAAAAGTCGGGGGGGGGGGGGGGGGGAGGGGGAAGGGAACAGAAGAGTGTTTCAAAGATGTAAAAGAGACAGAGATAATTATAAAAAAAAGGTGAGGTGAGTACTGTGGAAGTAGTCGAATATGACATACAATGAGGTGATGGTATTTTGAAGTCAGAAGTCAACTGCCGGTTAATAGACTTTTTCGCCGTATGAGCATACGTTACCCAGGGAGCACCACGTGGAGGCAAGTCTATCCCATACCCCACGCGTATTGATCTATTAAAAAACGTCCAAAATAAGTTTTTCAAGCAAGTTGGAAAGGTTATAAAGAGTTGCGATTTATTTTTGAACAACCCAAGGACTGCAATTATTGGAACTAGTACTTAGTCCAAGCAATATTTTGTCTGCTTCCATTCAATCGTAAAAATTCATTAGTAGATATTTTGAAAGGAGGACAGGATCTAGGTTGTGGTGGTTCTTAGAATAAGTTCCCTCCATTTTTGCCAACATCCGTCGGTAGAAGTTTCAAAGTGATCTTTAATTTCCATTGAAGCACCTTTTTTTAGTTCATTTTGCATTGGGTTATTGGATGTCAGGTGGATTGGCTCTACTAGAACACGACTGTTTCCCATTCATTTGTCACCTCACCCACTCCATTTGGGAAATTTGCCAAAAAGTACTCCTCTTCTGCGCGTCCTCATACCTGACCATGAGTAGTAGTCGCCTTAACCTTTTCCAGGAATTAGTTGCAAATAGCGCACACCTTCTATTTCTGTTGCCTCATCCCTCCCCCTTTACAAAGGCTGACATTAAACGGTTCTCTCTCCCCCCTCTCTCTCCCTCTTCCTCTCGGCCAGCCAGCGGGGACCGGCTCTTAACAATCATGGCCATAAATGTTGTTGCGCTGTGTTCGATTTTTGTACATGTGTGTGTGTTGGGTGCTGGGTGCTGTTGTCGACTGGAGCTGCCTAAAATGCGTGCAGTGGCTGGCCAAACGTTGATAATTCATTCGTGCAGTGCTGGCTCTTGGAGCCTACTACTTATAGGTGTTCCAAAGACGGGAGAACTTGCATGCTTGTTGACTGTCGCCATTAGGGGAAGTATGTGGGGATTGCGTAGAGAAACTTGTTCTTCCTTTTCTATGTCCATACAAAAGGTATTGCAAGTTTCATTCATAACAATCATCCGATCCAATAAGGTATGCACATCGGGTGGGGGGGGGGGGGGGGGGTGGGCTATAGAAGTAGCAAATACGGAGAAACACTGAATTGTCTACATTTATATCAAGTAGTGGAGATCACTATTTAATGTGTCGTTATTCTCAAATTGATCAACTCGACACAGAGTTTCGCGGGTGAGATTATATCCACAATTATCACGCATATTTTGACCGGCAGAATCACTTTCACATCTGGTCTTCCTACTTCAATTTGCCCTTTTCTACTTGCAGCCAAAAGGACGTTGATGCAAATAGCAACTGGGTGTTAAAGAGTAGAACTCACTTGAGCTCAAATTATATGAATTTCTCGTCACAAACAGGTAAAGAATGCCTGTATGAGGAAAGCAGAGAGCTGAAAATGGGCAGGAGGAATGTGGAACAGAAACTCCATACGTAGAAGAGTCATTGAATTTTGGGTGGGTGGAGGGGGGGGGAGGCAATTGAAATACATCTTCTCTGTCTCTGGGTTCCCCCCCCCCCCCGATGCTCTCCCGCGTTTAAACACTCAAAATGGAGAGCTTTCATCTATCCTTGCCTTCATTCAAGTATTATGAGCATTTATTGAAGTCCAGTGTTTTCTTTTGGCAATATTCTCTCTTTCATTTAAGGCGAATTGCTTGAACGTCTCTTGGTATACTTTTCCTCTCCGAATTCCACAAAGTAGTGCTGTGTGGTATTACAATCAACTGCTGCTACATTTTTTTCGTTCACCCTCTTTGTAAGCCTAAAAGTGCATTCTTGATTGTGTTTGAAGTTGTGGGCAACCTCGTTGTGAATCTGCCTATTCCTGTCTCCTCGTGTTCATGGTCTTCCTTTCTCACACATATGCGCATCCACTTGAGATTCAAGCAACAACAGCAACAACACTGCGGTGGCAGCAATAATGCCAATATTTATTAGTCTGGCGTATACACGAAGCATGCTGTGTTAAGGTGCGTGTGCATAGAGGTCCTCCAATTGTCTTGGCTTCATAATGGCGACCCTGATTTTAAAGTATTCATTCATTGTGGAATTGTGATACTTTCTCTAGTAGAGAATGTTCTGACTTTCATGTGAGAAGCAAAGGCATTTTTTCAACAACAAAAAGTATCTATTTGGTTCAGTCTATTAAAATATTTATTTTTTATTTCAAATGCAGAGGCGTTTTGATAGCTATCATTAGCCATTTAGCTGACTTCGGGCTTCACAGAGGGGAGGTTCATCAAAGTAGCAGAAAGTCGAGGGGTGGGGAACAGAAGAGCGATTCACAGATGTAAAAGAGACAGACAGACACAAAGGTAGAGAAAAAGGTAAGGTGAGTACTGTAGAGGGGTCGAATATGACAACCAGGGGGGTCGTGATAGTTTGAAGTGAGAAGTCAACTGCCAGTTAATAAACTTTTTTGCCGTATGAGTATACGTTGCCCAGGGTGCACCACGTGGAGGTAAGTCTATCGCATACCCCGTCTATTAAAATATCGTAAGAGTTAATGGTTAAATCACTTTGATCGAAAGATGATGAATTAAAACGCTTAGCAGATAGTTTATCTCGGGCAGAAGATCCATAGTCGAGACAATTTTTTGAGAGTTTTAATTTTATAAAAGAAATGAAAATACGATTGGCGCATCACACTCTTCTCCTGCGTTACGATGAAAGAGGGCCAAATCTTTTTTAAACAAAAGTTTGTGCTCAAACGTATTTTGCCTTTCAAACCCTTCACAGACCTCCACTTCTCTCAACTTTTATAAAGGTGGAGAAATTTAGCATTTTGAATAGCGCGCTTGGCATCTAAGTTGGGAGTCACGGGTTCGGGGCTCAGTTGCGTTCACCGGCTAGGTCTGGCTAATAAATGAGTGGCGGATTTCGTTTTATTTCCTCAGATTATTTGCTGGAAATCCATTTCCAAAGGAACTTGAGGAGAATATATTCCATTTTCATCGGTAACTCCCTGTAGTTGGTTTTCTATCCAACTTTTAAAGTCTACTCCATTGCCTAATTGATACTTCTCTTTTTCAGTGAAAAATATGTCCCCGACTTTCCTTTGTTTACTTTACTTCCCCGAGTAGTTGACACTTGAGTTCGGTTTTCTGGCTTATTGCATAAATCTCTGCGAAAGACTTGGAATTTCTCCCCACCCCTACAATTGAATTGACATTCCCTATCCGAAAAAGAGAACACAATACTACGATTCTAGTCCACCTCATAAAAGGACACATATGCCAGGGGAATGGGGTTATCACTGGCTATTTAATTAATCAGGGTTGATGCAGTTACTACAATACCCTTTAAGTATCCCCTCTACCATGGCTCGTGTACCTTCCCAGTGTGCCACCCAGTGTTCTGTGCTCAGGTTAGCAGGCTAAAAATAGGCATGGTACCACACTCCTGTGTTAAAGTAGTAAAAAGGGGCTCTTAACCCCACTTTAAGTTCCTCCACTACCACCCCCCCCCACCCTCATAGAAATTGGAATAACTGCTTGAATTGTGCCCCCTTTGTGTTCCAGGTGGAGAACAATGAATGCGCACATAGACCCTGTCTGAATGGGGGAATCTGTGTCCCCTTCTTCGGATCATACACCTGCCGTTGTCCAGCAGACTTCTCGGGAAGAAATTGTGAACGATCCTTGGCGTTTTCACCTTGCTCTAATCAGGTATTCTTCTTTGTCACTTTATAGTTTGTTTGTTTTTTTTTACTCGGATTTTCGAGATTTCTTAAATTTATGCAAACTTAACTAGCTGGCATCACCTATGGCACCCAGATAATTCAAGATATTGTTAGTGGCAAATATTTGACCAGGGGGTTCATTATATATAGTCCCCACAAAATACTGAAATGGGAAAATGTGTGAGTAGAATTGTTTGATTAGTGCACTTATTCATAACGGTAGAGGCTATTTTGCTCTGTGCCTTATGGCTCTCTTGGGTGAGATCGTGCCCACGATGTCCAGAGTTTTTGTCAGTCAATAGGGTTGTTGTTAGTGCCATCCTGAGTCATTCGTATCGTCTTGAAGTCAAGCCGAGGCTTAGTCGACAAGCGCGTAGTTAGTACCTTTTAAGTAGCATATTTCAACCAGATACACGTGGTCTGTCCAGTCATATTTTCTTGAATGCTCCTTGAAGTAGAAATAGGCATTGAAACTCTGTCATCAACAACCCCCTCCTCATTTGACTTTTAGAGTTTCTGCCCCTGGTCCTTTCTGTGATTTCACTCTTTTCCTAACTATTGATTTCAATTATTCAGAAAATTTCGTTTCATGGAAATCTGCTCAGTGTTTTCAAGGTGATAGAGAGATTGAAATCCACTGGTTATGTGCCATCCCTATCTCCTTGTTGGTTTAGAATATATAAAGCGTGTATGTGTATGTGTGTGCGTGTATGACAAAAAGCTTATTATTTGTGGATAGCATTCACTGCGACGATTAAATCTCTCTCTGCCAGGTCTACTGAATCGCGTATGTTTGTTATGCCTAAGCCCGTGAGAAGAGGAGTTGCTGCGTTTGTGTATGAATAATCGAATAAGTGATTCTCACCGAGATGAATGAAATTTCAATGGACGGTGATGGATGAGTGATGAATGCGCGCGATAATGATGATGATCGTCAAATTTAAGGAGATATATATATATATATATATATGTATAAAAAACAATAACAACAGCAGAAAAGATTCAAGTTGCAACAAGTACACGACACGGATTATCAAGAAAAAAACGTTTCCAGCAACAAGCATTAATTACTAATATCATCAGGCTAAAAGGACCCTTGAGGGGGTCAGCATTAACAACACTTGACTTGAGCAGATGGAAGGTATCTTGGAGTCGGTCCAATGAGAATCTCACATTCCGACACCCTTCATAATCGGAATGTGACGAACGTGTTTGGGCATTCATAACTACTGGATGTGCACTGATGAGTATCGATCTTGATCATATACACCTCATTTGAAGGGTGGAATTCTGGAACCTCTCGATAGATTGATTTGTTTTCTTGCCAGTCCTCTGTTAATCAAATTAACAAGCACGGTTGGTCTTGCCAATCACGTACTTTGTGATTTGGCAGACTCGAAAATTTTGATGTCAAGGCCACAGCTGTGTTATACGGGTTTCTGAATTGGCAATACAGGCTATTAATTTAATTTTTCTTTCATCGTAAACTATTATTTGCTTTAGCATTTTATTAAATTCTCACTTTTAATTTTAACAGGTAGTTTTTTTCTCCGTAATTGCGTAAAGTACACCCACATTGAGATCAAATTAGAATTCGAGTACATACGCGTGTTAATTAGGCATCTTAAAAGTACAAATTTTGCTAGACATCATCCCACTTCCTAATTCCTTCATTCACTTTATTTCTGTGGTGGAAATTCTCACATCTTTGCGCAAATTCGCGCTAGGATGAAATGTGTGGCGCGCTGTGTGTGCGTGTGTGCTTGGGGTCCTTTCAACCATCACCCACCCACCCACCCACCCACTTTTCTGTGATTGTTGGTGAATCATACGGCACTGTTTTTTTTTGAAGTAGAATTCAAGTATACATTGAAGTTACTGACTAATGAGAATTCAGTCATGATGACAATCGAGTTATATTCGTCGCATCAAGTAGTTTATGTGCTTGAAAAAATCGATACGGTCAAAGCTCTTAATTAGTTGAAAAAAATTCTACAATTAGGCATGAATGGGGGGGGGGTCGATACCCAGCAACTTCATGGTATCAAATAGTTTGACATCATTCGATGTTTACTTTTACTGAGTAGTTTAAGTTCCAGAAATTAAAATTCATCATCTGGTTTGTTGATCGAATTCGTGTTCACGTTATCCGTTGGTTGTTTGTTTGAGGTTGTCAGTCTCAATGCTTCTGATAACTTTTTCCTTGCATAGACAAAGGCAAGTGACAAGCAGTTGAGTGAGACCGGAAAAGCCATTTTTACCAGGAGAACTCTAGTGTCAAGTTTTAGTATAGCATTACATTATTTCTTCTCAATTTTACTGCAATCCTCGATTTAGACAGTGCTATTTTGCAATCATGTCAGTATTAACAAGTGGCAAGAGTGAAATTGGCTGTTATTTAACAAAATGGTGGTTGTTAAGGTAGAAGAACAATACTCAACAAAGCATCTGACATACTCGCTTTCCAAGTGTACCGAAGAGAGAGAGAGAGACGGAGAGCTTTCAGAGCGTGGGGGTCCAATCTGCTAATTGTACACTCACCCGTTTGCTGTTAAGAAGGAAATTCTCCCCCACCCCCTACCCTCCCACGAATTTGCTCTCCTGTGTATGTCTATGGCGTAAATGACCTTCGTTTCGTTACAAAAGTGCACACAATAGGACTACTGACTTCAAAAATTTGGAATAATAAGAGTTAGAACAGAGGAACTGGAAAGTCACAGTCCATTCCTATCGAATTCTTCGAAAGTCCATACTATCATTTTTAGGGTACAGGTTTGTGCTATTTAGGTGGAAACTTTATCCTTATCTGTTAATCCTACTCTGATAAATCTTTTCCTTCTTAAAAGAGGCCCAATAAATGCTTTCTACTTTCTATCAAAGTAGATGTTTTGGTATTGCGATGACTTTTCGCTGTATTTCGTGCCGGATTCCACGTTATGGTGATGAATAGTTGTTTGTTAATTGCTTCATTTACGCGCAGTATGCATATATGTAACACAGATTTTGGAAAATAGGGTATGAATAACACTCGGAGATAAGAAGGCGATTTATTAGTTAGTTCTTATTCCACTGGTACAAATTTGTTAATGAAACGCTTAGTGACTTTATGTTAGCCATTCAATTCAATAGCATAGAGTCTCATATTAGTTTATGCTAACTTCAGATCGTTAGATGCGAGATTTATGTTCCATGCTGTTCTTTATCTAGACTTGTCAGAATGGCGGTTACTGCAAGGGTAGTAGTCTCATGGAGGAATGTCACTGTCCTTCTGGTTACTACGGCCGATATTGCGAAGTTACTCTCAATCTCTGTCATCAGCTTCTGGAAATTAGTCTCTACGCGGACCCAACTTATTACAGTGCAAGTACTTTAGGACGTCTACTGGGTTCCAGAAGCACCCTCTCTCTGACAGCGGCCACTTCAGCACTCCTGGAAGATTCTGGAAAGTGGAAGACTTCCATGGAACTTCTCAATGACTTACATCTTTCGAGAACTTCATTAGGACCGTGTTATCCACCTGGTACTCAACAATGTTTACCCATGAGGGAGTTGGGAGGTTTCGAATGTCATTGTAAACATGGCTTTTTTGGACGCTACTGTGAACAAAAGAGGGACTTCTGTGCGGAAGCTAGTCGGCGTTTCGCTAGTGGAGAGGTAAGTGCATAAATAAGGGCAATATGGATATACATATATATATATATATATATATATATATATATGTACGGGGTTGAGGTGTCAGTCTACTCAATAAATTGACTGATAACTTACTATCATTTGTTTCCAAAGGAACCATAGAGGCTTAAGTGAGCAGTGCTTGACGTTCTTTTTGAATCTTGAAATAAATTCGTTTATGCAAAAACAATTAACCATTTTAATCTACTTTCCACTGCTCACTTCCCACACTTCATGGTGGCTTTCGTGGGAAGGCCAAAGTTGAAGCTAATTGACAAAATTTTGAACTCTATTACCCTTCCACCAAGTCAGATTCCCCCAAATCTAATTTTGTTTAAAATAATTTATTTAGTCTACTTAAAACTCGCTTATCGTGTTTAGGATATCTGCCTGAACGGAGGTCAGTGTGTGAATTTTCCACAGGGTATCGAAAATCACTTTTCAAACCTCTCAATCAGTAACAACAAAGAGGAGCAGTATTTTGTGTGTCAATGCCTTCCGGGTTTCAACGGCCCAAGATGCGAGTTACGGTCACCAAGTTGTGATGATGTGGACATCTGTCAAAACGGGGGTGTTTGTGCTGTTGAGGGCTCGCGTCTCAAATGTATTTGTCCACGGGGACTTGGCGGAACCTTCTGTGAGATTGATCTGGTCAATGAATGTGAACATGCAGGAAATTGTCTCAATGGTGGCAGTTGTTTAGACGGTTTGGGTAATTACACCTGCGAATGTCTGCCTGGTAGGTTTGGAGATTAAATCATCGCTATTTAAATTTTTGCAAGTAGTATGTATATTTTTTAATGAAACTTGGTTCTACTTATGGGCCAGTAGGTAATAATTTTAAACTTTCTTATCTCTGCACTTTCCAGATTTCTGTGGTGCAAGATGCGAGTTGAACGGTTTTGCCTGTGCCATTGAGGCCACCAATGATCCTAAACGCTGGCCCGGAGAGGCTGCAGAAGCTCGACTCTGTGAAATGTACAATTGCAAACAGAAGGCAGAAAATGGACGTTGTGATCTCGAATGTGATCGATTCGCATGCGGCTTCGATGCTGGCGAATGTCTTTACCTTAATCATCAACAGTCACAGCCACTAATCTTACCTGTTTCAAATCAGAGTAAGATGCTGAGCAAGGCTCTGCCTTGGGCCAACTGCACGGTTATTCAAGAGCAGGGAATTCCTTGCCATCTGAGATTTGGCGATGGAAAGTGCGACTCTATTTGCAACACAGAAGCTTGTCTCTTTGATGGTTGGGATTGTCGAAATGAGAACTCGACGGTACGTTAGAAGGTTAAAATGCTCTGTTTTTGTCATAAGGTCAAGAAACGATCCATCTTTTCCATAAAAAAGGAGATGCAAAGGAGGGGCGCAAATCATAAGTTTTATTTGAATTAGAATGAGGTGTTCACTTTAATTACGTTCATTAAACTGCAAACCGTACCTATTGGGTGATACCTTTGCTTACAAATGTGGAAACTGCCAAATTATGGGATTTGGTCCTGAAGCCAACAATTTCTACGCAATTTCATGACGTTCTATTCAAGAGACCCCCGTAGATGGAACACCAAGACGTAGCACCCCACTCAGTACAAGTTTACTTGCAGGAGACAATACAGGTATTAGTTGACAAAAAAGAAATAACTGGAAAATTTTCGCTTTTGGACAATTCAAAGTTTTTCATAGGACAATTTGCTTTCATCTGATTGGGGGGGGGGACGATCACTCCCGTTTTCCTTAATTAAAGATCCTCATGTTGACATGAGCTGTTTATTTCTCAATCCCTCATAATGGATCTTACTCGACAGTTTTGCAATTTTATACCGATGCCAGTATGAGCATTTGAACTTTCATAGCACATTGATATAATGGAAAGTCCTTGGTAATTGGATCGCTGTTCAATGCAAAAATGGGGAACTGTGACTGTGATATTATAAGGTTATAGCATTGAAATTGTTTAACGCCCCTCATTATCTCCACTTAAATATGGCTTTTCGATTTTCTAGGTATTTCAACTCCCTAAAAATTCCATCCGAATGCCACCGAAGCAGCCTGTTGAGGGAAGTCTTATTCTTCTTGTTGGTGTCCCTCCTTCGCAATTTCTTCTTGAAAACGAGGAAAAACGAGAGCTGGAGACCCGGTTTTTGGACGGTTTGGGAGATCTTTTGAGGGCCAAATTGCGCGTTCGTCAAGTGCCCAAAACTGGAGAACCAATGGTTTACCCCGTTACTCTGACGATGGTTCCGAATGCAAATAGCGCCCAAATTGACAACCAACGCGACGCTTTCTGGTCTATTACAGATTTCTTCAATGAGGGTGGTGTCAATATGTCAGTTAATAGGTTGATTATTGATCAACAAGATGAAGTTACTCACATGGTGGATCCTACTATCAAATTGAGCCAGGTGTTATCACAATTATCTGAAATAGCGAAGCAACCGAGACACCATGAACTCAATCAGGAGGTTTTCCTTTCGAGAAGACGTCGTGAAGCCCCTGAAACCAGAATAGGTAGTCGAGTTTTCCTGGAATTTCAGCATGATAAGAATCAACCCATGAGTGGTGGTGAGTTCTATTACATAAAATATCTCTGAAACTTGTAATTTATCATTAGTTGACTGTTTTCGTTCTTACTCTCAGATGGAGGTAGTATGTTCAACAACGTGGAGTCCGCAGCCCAGTTTATTTCAGCAGCACTTCGCACACGTCGATACACACCACCTGTGGATATATTTGCTGTGGAAACAGCAACCCCTGAAGCACTTCAGCAAATCATTTCTACTGAAAGTCAAGTGGACAATGGGATAGGTTTTCGTGGTCTTCCTGCGCCTTTAGCCTACTGTCTGATAGCAGTCGTTTTTGGCTTGCTTCTTCTGGCTCTCCTTGGGGTCCTTTATGGAGTGGTGCAGCGTCGAGCTCATGCTGCCGAACCCTCAAAAGTTGTAAGTACTTGGTACATTTCATTGTTTGCTTTGTATTTTCGCGGCTACATAACATATTTTTCTTATGTCGTATTTATGTGATGTGATATTCGGCTCTTTGGCTAACTTATCGTCACTTTTGTGTAGAATTCCATTTTAGTTCCTAAAAATTTTTTTTTTCGGGTAATTGAAATAAGAAAGGCATCTTATATTCTTTATGAACGCACTATTACTCATAGGTGTTAACGGATCAAATGCAACACGTGTTCCCTGACTCTCGACTTGGAAGGTAGAACCTCTCTGAATTGGAATTCTACCCTGATTTCTAATGTTTCGGTCATGGTAAAAAGAAAAAGAACGAGATGTGGCCTAATTTTGTTCCAGTTGGGTTTACTTTCTTGTGTTCATTAGCTTTTACTCAAGTCTATATGTTTCCCACCCCTCCACAGATCAAGACAACATCCATCTGGTATCCACGCAACTCCTCCTCGCGAGACTCTAGACAAGGTGGCGGAAGTGGTGGCGGTGGCGGTGTTTTCAGTTGTTTCACTAATCTAACCGATGCATCAGGCCAGGTGACTTCAAGTAATGCAGTCTCGCATCAACAGAGCCTTCGCAATCTATCCACTCCGCACTCCTCTAGTCTGCGTTTGTGGTCAAGGGAACAGGCGCTTGCCCTTGGACGAGAAAAAATGGCTATGCGAGCATCTCCCTATACGGTCCCGCCTTCATCTGGGTATTCACAAGTCTGTGGTGTCAATGCCGCGAATGATGGAAGTGTACGTTGATTGTCTTGTAGAATGTTCACTCAGATACATTCAATGATAAGTAATTACTAAAAGTCACCTAAATTCTTAGGTAATAAAAATGACTTTGTGGATGCCTAATATGGACAAATCTTTGAACAGTTTTTAACATAACGGCTTTCTATCACTTTATTCACATTAAATCTGTTTACATGTAATCAGAGGACCAAATGTGACTTAAGCTATCTGATTTCCGTAATCGATTATCATCTATGTCTGTTTATTAAATAAGCGATGCACAATATGCCATTCGGACAAGCGAGTGGGTTTCGATAACAGAAGGGGAAATTATTTGAGAGATATTTTGTTCAGGGGGCTTGAGACCATTGTCTCATTTAATTTCGAAGGTTATTTGCTGGCTTATTTGAGAAAAAAACGGTCTTTTAAAGAAACTCCTACCGAACTCGTTACCATTATTAAGGATGACATATTTGAGTGTGCTTCGCTCCAAACCGATCTTGTCTTGTGTAAGAATTAGTCGGAGTTTGGGCCCTATTGACCATTTCGCTTGGGGGTCAGTGGTCCCATCGATAATGTGTGTCTGCGTGTTTTTTTGAGCTTTGAAAACATTCACGCTTATGATTGGCCACTTCGGAATTCACCGTTTTATCCATAGTTCACTCGAGGTGGAAATTTGCGTTCTATGAGACGGGAATCAATGCTCTCTATCTATCTATCTGATGGCTCAGAAGAGGCTCAGAGAAAGAAAATTCGAGGTACTTTTTATGGTGTCCTGAGGAGGATTCTCCTTCGTTGAAATGCTGTAGTGGACTTTCTGCTTCATCAAATGTTTCCAGCATGACCTAATGTTCTAAAGATTAAATTTCATGATCTGTCTCCTACTTCCCTTTTAAATAGTTTAGATGAACGCATTTCATATGGATTCCTTATTTTACAGATGATGGGTACTAGTGATGTGCCATCCGATACCCCTCTTCTGTTGGCCACAACCAATCAAATGCCCCAAGTGGACGTCAAGGCCTACTTCACAAGTCTCATGGAGTGTCTAGTTTCTGGCAACGGGGTTACGGAACCCTTTACTGAAGGTTTCTCTCAAAAGCTGGAATACCTTCGAAACGTCGAATTGCAACAACAACAATCCGAGGCTGCGTCGAATATGTACCGTCCGGGGGCAAGAAAGCGAACTCAAACCCAATCTCTATTGCATCAGTTATTGACTAGCACACTACCAGAAACTGGGGAGACTCTGCTACACCTGGCGGCAAGGTACAATTGTGCCAACGCTCTCACCTCGCTCCTGAATGCCGGTGCTGACCCCTATGCTGTGGATGGTCAGGGACAATCAGTTCTTCTGACTGCGGTGAGTGCTTCTGCTGTGGATGCTGCCAGAGCCCTTCTTTCGTCGTCACAGGTTGCCGCTGATATGCCCAGGCTTTTTGTTGCCTGTCCGACAGTTGATAAAACCACGGCCCTAATTCAAGCTGTAAAGGTTTCTGACATTGGTAAGTTCTTTTTTGCAATTTTTTTTTGTTATTCTCCGGGGAAACAATAAAACAAATTTGATTAAGTGGGGAAGTTAAAGTGAAATTGCTTTAAAAATTGCATTACGAAAAACGCATTACCCTTTCCTGAAGCTAAAAGACAGAGATTAGAGTTGAGTCAAAGTGTGTGTATGTTGATGTTCGAGTTTAGTGTATTAAGAGGGAGAAGAGAGTTGGAAGCATTGACAATTGGAAGGATAGTATTCGTCAATAAGCGAATGGAGCCCAGATTGTGATGAAGTTGGACTAGTGATCCATTTTGCATTCCTTCTTCATGAAAAAACGACCGTCAGAAAGCCATTGACTGGCAATTAAGTCATACGAGGGTATGTACCTGCTATGTGCAATCAGTTGCCATGCTCGCTAGAAATTTGCATATGTCAGTAATTATACTCCTAGAATTATAGATCGCATAGTTGTTGCAGTCAAAGTATATAGTCATTGCTTGTGATTTGCTAGTTTCGCTACTATCGTTTTCTTTTCTTTTTTAAATAGAAATGGTGGAAATGCTGCTTCAGACCATGGCCAGCCTTATTCCTGATCCGACATCCCTTCAAATGCCACCTGGACCTGGTGGTCAGCTTCCTCCGGGCTACCCTCCTCCTCAGATGGGAATGCAGAATCGTCGACCACCTCCACCGCAGAGTATGGGCCCTAGACTTGGTTATGCTCGACTCTATCCACCATCGAGCAATCCCGGAAACAGCTTAATGATGAACCCAGGTGGGACTGCTTCCGCGGATGATGGCTCTGGGGCAGGAGGTTTGTCAGCGAATTCCTTTGGGGTAAATGCCACAGATGGTGAGGGTCGAACCGCACTCCATTGGGCCGCTCTCACAGAGCAGCCTGCTATGGTTCAGCTCCTTTTGCGCGCTGGAGCCTCCCATGATGTTCAGACAATTCATGAGGAAACACCTCTCACTTTTGCAGCCCACGAAGGTTCCGTAGAAATCTGTTCCCTTCTCCTGGCCGCGGGTGCAAATATTGAGATTGCTGATTACCTAGATCGAACTCCAAAACAACTGGCTGCCGCGAATGGACACACCGATGTTGTTCAGTTACTCCAAGTCTACTCAACAGCCCCCCACCAACATCAACAATCCTCCTCACATCATTCCTCTCTTCTTCAACAACAGCAGCAAAGATATAGCACCACTCAACGCCGAGCCACCATCCTATACCCTGGCAATCAGTCCTTTTTCCAGCCTCAGCAAATCCAGCAACATAGATACTACCGGCCTCCTAATGTCGCTCAAAACTGTTCAGCTGACGGTCCATCCTACGAGAAACGTCTGAAAACGGAACCGCCAGAGTATTTATCGTCAATGGGCGGAGAGAGCTTTCTGATGCAACTTGTGCCTCCATCGACTGCGAATACGCCTAATAGTTCTTTAGTAGTCACTTCGGCAACAACAACAGTGGCCGGCAATGAAGGAGTGGGTGGTGTGAGCAGTAGTGATAACTCAAAGACGGCGTATTTTTTTGAGCAACCACCGCTTCCACCGATTCAACAACAGCAACAGCAGTACTACACCTCAAACACGGATGGTCTGTTGACTCCCGTGACAACATGTCAGTCTGTTGTAAACCAATCAAATCAAGAAGGTGGTGGTGGTAGCGGTGTTGTCGGTAAAATTAGTACTGACATAAACAACAACTGGACAACGGTCAATCAACGAGGTGGTCATGTTGCCACAGCAACTGGAACAACAAATGGCCATACTCCGAGTTCGGACACGGAATCTCCAGCTCATTGGTCCTCTCCCAGCCCCACAGCCATATCCCCTCCAGTAGCGCCCCTGAAAATGGCTGTAACTAACTCAGGCGGACAATACCAAATGTCTCGCGTGGTAACCAGTAGTAGCAGTAGTGCCAACAATACGGTAAATCAACACCAAGGCTTCTGTCCGAATCATGGCACTGGCAACACAACCACCAACACATCGAATAACCAAACATCCTCAGGGGGATTTTCTGTGGCCTACTCAAAGGATTGTATCAAATTGGAACCCGGCGTGTTCTGAGGAATTGTACAAAAAGGAGTGCTTGAATTGAATCCCTCTACCCTCACCCATTCCCTATTGTACCAAAGTCTCAATCATCCCTTTCTCCCCCCTCCCCCCCCCCCCCCCTCCTCCTCAATCTTGAATGCGGTACAGAGCATCTTCACCACTTTTCTCTTAAAATTCAGTCTCCCCCTATATGGTTTTGTGTGACGGAGTATATCGTGTACACAAACACATTGTATATATTACATACTACGCTACTACTGAACTAGGCTAACTACTGAATTGTGACGAGACACCGCTGCTGTCTCTTCTACGTGAAGGATGCCTACCCGCACTCATAGTCTCTATATATAACAAAGTAATGGTAATAATTACCTTTTTTTTCAAAATTGTGGTGGTCTTCTGCTACTGTGTTTGGCGTCTGGAGGGAATGCTATTGGTTGGGAAACAATTGAGGGGTGTTTCAACTACTTCAAATTGTAAAGAGGGGGATTGTGGGTAGGCGTGAAACTGGTCAATAGTAGGCGAGGAAGACGTTGAAGATGAACTTACTTTTTGCCATGAGGGGCTGGAAAACGAGTAGACGTGTGGAGTGCCCACATTGGGCTGTCGTCTCAGTTCCTATGTTTCATCTGTTACGATCAAGCGCAGCTATAAATAAAATTAGCAGCTATTCGTTCTCCCTGGGAGTAGGGAAGTCTTACTCTAGGTGGCCAATTCGCTGGAATATTAACGATGGGGGGGGGGACTTGCGCGATCGACCAGTTCATTTGGGCTCTTTGAGGAATTAGCGCAGACGGCAAGTAAGGGAGTTGCAAAGCTCTAAGCTTGGGTAAAAGTGGAGATCTAGCTAAAAAAAAATCGAGAAGCTGGATTTGGGAATTAACGGGGGTGGG